AGCCTTCAAATCCAGGGATTCCATCACAATGTTAATACTATTCAAATCACTCATGCTGTTCCACCTTAAGTACTGCTCAATATTCACTCCCCCTTCAGAGCTGGAGAGATTGCTGAAATAGAATGAATACAGAGAACATAAATGGCATGCTTAGACATGATAAAGCACATGAACAATTGGGATCATCTCAAACTTTCAAAATGTACTCTCTAGAAGGAAGATGAGAAAGGTACCAAATTATATATGCGTGGAAAATACTGGAGGGTCAGGTTCCTAATTTGCACAGTAAAATACCATCATACTGGAGTGAACAATATGGAAGGAATTGCAGAATAGAGCCAATGAAGAGTAGAGGTGCCATAGGCGCAATCAGAGAACATTGAATGTCAGAGGTCCACAGTTGTTCAATATTCTACCAACAAGCATAAGAAATATTGCAAGAACAAACTTGGAAGTCTTAAAGAAAAAGCTCTGCACCCTCCAAGCCCCAAAAGCCAAAGGTGAAGGCTCTGGGGCAGAGCCAGAGTTCACACCCACTGCCTAGGAAAGAAGAGTAGAGTCCCAGGGAGAAGCTTTAGAAAAGGAAGGTGGTTAACGGGAAAGAATAAAACCTTGGTGGTACCTGCCGGCTCCACTGTCTCCAGACCTGAGTTTGAAGGGGCAACCCCTGGAACCGGCCAAGCCACATCCTGAACTAAACCTGGGCCCGTCCCAGATACCCTCAGATGTTTCAGGACTGGAAGTAGGGGGAGGGGGGGGGGGATCAGAGGAAAAGTGAGCCATGCCAGAAGGGGAAGGAATAGGTTACCTTGAGGTTACCTTGAGGTGCTTCCGGGGCTTAGCGTCCCCGCGGCCCAGTCGTCGACCAGGCCTCCTGGTTGCTGGACTGATCAACCAGGCTTTTGGACGCGGCTGCTTGCAGCCTGACGTATGAGTCACAGCCTGGTTGATCAGGTATCCTTTGGAGGTGCTTATCCAGTTCTCTCTTGAACACTGTGAGGGGTCGGCCAGTTATGCCCATTATGTGTGGCGGAAGCGTGTTGAACAGTCTCGGGCCTCTGATGTTGATAGAGTTCTCTCGCAGAGTACCTGTTGCACCTCTGCTTTTCGACGGGGGTATTTTGCACATCCTGCCATGTCTTCTGGTCTCATGTGATGTTATTTCTATGTGCAGGTTTAGGACCAGCCCCTCTAATACTTTCCACGTGTAAATTATTATGTATCTCTCCCGCCTGCGCTCCAGGGAGTACAGATTTAGGCTCTTTAGTCGGTCCCAATAGTTTAGATGTTTTACTGAGTGGATTCTAGCAGTAAAGGATCTCTGCACGCTCTCCAGGTCAGCAATTTCTCCAGCTTTGAAAGGGGCTGTCATTGTGCAGCAGTACTCCACTCTAGAGAGCACAAGCGTTTTGAAAAGGTGGTGTGAATGGCTGAACTACCCCAACACCTTCAATTGTAGGTTCGTAAACTCTAGTCAGACCAGCTCCTAGGCAGCCAACAAGGCACACAAACTACACTGCGGCAAACAGGTGAACTGAACCAAAACACAGTGGCCACCTGATCTGCACTAGCAGCATCAAAAAGGTCAGAAAGAAGTCACATGAGGAGAACGAACCCCCCACAGATCAATGTCAAAGGTGTCTTTGACCCAACAGGCAATGAGGCAGAGGTAGAATAAGTGACCGTCACAACTTGGCATGGAAGATAAACAACCCTCAAATTCACACAAAGCAAGAGCAGGTTTGGAGGGAATATCCATTGGCCACATTAAATCTGTCAGGCATTTTTGGGACCTGAAGTATAAACCAAGAAGGACACCTAGGCACCGGGAATGCTACATCAGACCTAAAAGTAAGCCAACACAGCTGACCTCGGCCTGTCATATTGACAAATACTGTATGTGAGCCACCAATGCTCACATACAGTATTTCCCCCAGCCAACGTCTCTCCTGACCTACCTGTTGACTACTTTGAAGTTACCTTTTAGTGTTTCCGGGGCTTAGTGTCCCCGCGGCCCAGTCGTCGACCAGGCCTAAAAACATTATTGCCAACAGCATTTGGTGTTCCCAGGCAGTCACCCATCCAAGTACTAACCAAATCCAACGTTGCTTAACTTCGCTGATCGGATGAGAAATGGTGTTCTCAACGTGATATGGACGTTGGAGAACAGTGGAGAATAACTGTTGGAGAGGTGGAACAACTGTTGAGAGAACAGTAGTTGGAAAACAACTACCTGTTGGAGATTTCAAGGATCAATGTCCCTATGGCCCAGTCTCTGACCAGGCCTTCTGGTTGCTGGTCTGATCAAGCAGGCTGTTTGATGCAGTTGCTCACAGCCTGATGTACGAGTCACAGCCTGATGTACGAGTCACAGCCTGGTTGATCAGGTATCCTTTGAAGGTGCTTGTTCAGTTCTCTTTTGAACACTACGAGAGGTTGACCAGTTATGGCCCATTTATGTAGGAGAATAGTGTTGAAAAGTCTTGGGCCTTTGATGTTGATAGAGTTCTCTCTCTCTCAGCGTGCATATTGCACCTCTGCTTTTCAATGAGAGCTATTTTCCACATCCTGCCATACCTTTTGTTTCATGTGGTGTTATTTCTATGTGCAGATTTTGAACCAGTCCTTCTAATATTTAAAAAATTTAAATTATTATTCATCTCTTCCACCTGCACTCTAGGGAATACAAATTAATTTTTTTTAGATGGTCCCAATAATTTACGTGTTTTATTGAGTGAATTTTAGCAGTACAAGATCTTTGCATGCTCTCCAGGTCAGCAATTTCTCCAGCATTGAATGGGGCTGTTAGTGTGCAACAATATTCCACTAGTGCATTTTTGTCTTTAAAAGTATTAGCATTGGCATGGCATCTCTTGTTTGGAAGATTATTATTATCCAACCTGTCATTTCTGTGGGGAGCTGTGTCGGCTGCTTGAAGCTATCTTGCTGATTAAGTGCCATACCTTTTGGAATCATCAGTTGCAGAGTTTTTGTTACCTTCTTGGGACCATAAGTCAGAACCTGGGCGCCCCCCCCCCTCAGAAAGGTGCAGGGAGCAATGGCACATGAACACTTTACATTTAAAGTATCATTTCTGCCATCGACCAGGAAGGCACCCAGAAAGGTAGGCATCTGAAAACAAATCACTGCATGGTTTAATGCAATGCACAAACCCACAACTTCAAAAGAACTCCCCTAAAAGAAAACAACCAAAACTTCGTCAAGTGCTTCCCTTGCGCTGTCAAGGTTCTCTTTCCTGGAGTGTTCAGGGACGTTCCTTAGATCTGCCTCGCTTGTGGTAGTTTTCACCTTGGGGTGAGTCGGGTTTTCTCCCTCTGTACTCACCTAGTTGTGCTTTGTGCTCTCTGGTCCTACCTCTTAACTATCAGTCAACTGGTGTACAAGTTCCTAAGCCTATTGAGTTCTATTATGTCTTGATATTATGTATATTATGTCGTATTATGTCTATTATCACTTGAAACTGTATTGTATAAGGAGTCTGCCCTTCCCCCCCCACCTAATCACTTTCTAATGCATTCCATTTGTTAACTACTCTGACACTAAAAAAGTTCTTTCTTATGTCGCTGTGGCTCATTTTGACACTCAATTTCCACCTGTATCCCCTACTGTGTGCGCGCTCCTTGTTTTAAATAAAATGACCTTATCTACCCTTTCAATTCCTCCGAAAATCTTGTATGTGGTGATCATGTCTCCCCTAAATCTTCTAGTCTAGGTTTAGTTCCTGTAGTCTCTCCTCATAGCTCATAGCATAGCTCTCCTCATGAGACCATCAGCTCAGGAACTAGTCTGGTGGCAAAATTCTAAACCTTCTCCAATTTAGTCTTGTGCTTGACGAGATATGGACTCCATGCTGGAGCTACATCGAAAGATTGTCGTCCCTTCACCTTTTAGTGTGTGGTCTGGTCAACATACTTCAGCCACGTTATTGTGACTCATCGCCTGCATTCCATGCACAAATTTCTAAAGGTTGTTCTTATGTTGGCCAACAGATGGGCTTCAGGGTACAGGTCTCGCGTGATATCAACCCCCAGGTGAACAAATCCACAAGGGCCGTGATGAGGATTCAAACTTACGCCCGGGATGATTCCAGACACTGCCTTAGTTGATTGTGCCACCACATGGTCAAAAGAATTGCAACTGGAAGTTCTAATGACTTTACTCGGATCCTGCAGCCTCTCTGAGACACAAACCAGGGTTTTACACAATTCCCCCATGTACTTGGGCTCTATCAACATGCTGACCAGACCACACACTAGAAGGTGAAGGGATGTTGACGTTTCGGTCCATCCTGGACCATTATCAAGTCGACACAATCGACTTAATAATGGTCCAGGACAGACCGAAATGTCGTTGTCCCTTCACCTTCTAGTGTGTGGTCTGGTGAACTTACTTTAGCCACATTATTGTGACTCATCGCCTACCAACATGCTGTTCTACCTCTTTGCCCTTACTTCAATACACACAGAAATCACAATAGCATGATATATCAAATGAACAAATCCACAAGGGCCTGTACTGTACTAGCCTGTACTAGCCGCAATCGACTAAGGCAGCGTCTGAGATCATCCCGGGCAAAAGTTCGAATCCTCATCACAGAAGTTCAAATCCTCAACCGGAAGTTCTACTTCCAGTTGCAATTCTGTTGACCATGTCATGGCGCAATCGACTAAGGCAGCGTCTGGGATCATCCTGGGCGTAAGTTCGAATCCTCATCATGGCCCTTGTGGAATTTGTTCATTTGATATATCACGCTATTGTGATTTCTGTGTGTAACCCCACTGGCTCTTTCTGCCTCTTTGAGAAACAGAACTTTGCAGCTTATGTGACCTAGTAGTTAGAAGACATCTCAATGAGATGTCCTGGGGAAGGAAGCTCCTGGGGGTTCCTCTAGCTTCTGATTTCTTTTTGTATTGCAACTGAATAATAATAATAATAATAAATAACTGAATAACATATCTAAATTTTTTTTTTATCAACAGTGCACTAAGAGTCCAGCTGATGACATGGTGGACATTGTCGATGAATCTCAGGTTGATGAAAAAGCTCTTGCCCATCTTGGTAATGAAGACTTCTAAGAATATGGAGTCAGTTGTAGGGGTCCATAGATTGTGATATTATGGAGCATTTACCTTGCACCAGCAGGGATTATAAAGATTTTAAATGATAAATTCAATATAGTTCCTCAGAGATAAGTGATTGCTTCTGAACCAAATTGCCTCAATTATATTAAAAAATTAGGCAAGTACCTTACAACAAATGTTTGATAAAGAAGCTGTGAATGACTGGACAGCAGCAATCACAATATAATACTGACAGTTGTTATTGCTTCCTTAATTCTCATCATAGTCAGTTTACCTTGAACTACATTGTGTTAACTCTTTTTAACGAGTATATTTCATAAATTAATTTGTGTGCAAGCTGGATGCAAGCTAAATGATTCAGTTATGAATACACTCCAAGATAAGTTTGTTTGGAGCAAACTCCAAACTTTGTTTTTGAGTGAATAATATATTTTTACGTATAGTATAGTACTGTATAGATTTAATTGCAATGTTTAAACAATAAATATCATCTTTTCCTTTTTCATATGTAAAATTAGTTCATAGTAAAGATATGACTGAAATTAGCCATTGTTGCAATTTAGGATCATAATTTTGTATTCTGTAAAGTACACAATCAAATTTTCAGCTGAAGTTTTTGTTACTTGCTCACTAGTTTGGGTTCTCAGATACAGTTAATAGGGAGGTATTACTGCCTGTTTATACATTTATCTTTTAAAATACAGCAAGCATATACATTCTAGTAAAATATTTAATAATTATTGGAGTATTTTTTATTTTATTGAGTAAGTGAGTACTAAATATATTAAATTATATTTGTTTCATGCATGTATCAGCTTTTTCAATATTTCAGATTATGTAACTTATTAGCACAAATATTAGCTGATGAGTAAATTGTGGACATATTTCATAGAAAAGAGGATGGACCTCAATTCTAAGCTGCAAAGTTGAACTATAACTTAAAGCCTATGTACAAAATAGTAACAGGAATTGATAAAATTGATAGGGAATATTTCCTGAGACCTGGAACTTCAAGAACAAGAGGTCATAGATTTAAACTAACTAAACACAGATGCCGAAGAAATATAAGAAAATTCACTTTTGAAAACAATGGTAGACGGTTGGAACAAGTTAGGTGAGAAGGTAGTGGAGGGCAAGACAGTCAGTAGTTTCAAAGCGTTATATGACAAAGAGTGCTAGGAAGATGGGACACCACGAGCGAAGCTCTTATCCTGTAGCTATACTTGGGTAATTACACACACACATACAAAAAGAACATTTTCAGTGTAATATATATATATATATATATATATATATATATATATATATGCGAACAAGCCTGAATGGTCCCCAGGACAATATGCAACTGAAAACTCACACCCCAGAAGTGACTCGAACCCATACTCCCAGGAGCCACGCAACTGGTATGTACAAGACGCCTTAATCCACTTGACCATCACGACCGGACATAATGAGGTGATAGCCGAGGCTATTTGAACCACCCCACCGCCGGCACTCGGATAGTAATCTTGGGCATAGCATTTTACCAAATCACCTCATTCTTTGGGGCACACGTGAGGAACACAAATGCGAACAAGCCTGAATGGTCCCCAGGACAATATGCAACTGAAAACTCACACCCCAGAAGTGACTCGAACCCATACTCCCAGGAGCCACGCAACTGGTATGTACAAGACGCCTTAATCCACTTGACCATCACGACCGGACATAATGAGGTGATAGCCGAGGCTATTTGAACCACCCCACCGCCGGCACTCGGATAGTAATCTTGGGCATAGCATTTTACCAAATCACCTCATTCTTTGGGGCACACGTGAGGAACACAAATGCGAACAAGCCTGAATGGTCCCCAGGACAATATGCAACTGAAAACTCACACCCCAGAAGTGACTCGAACCCATACTCCCAGGAGCCACGCAACTGGTATGTACAAGACGCCTTAATCCACTTGACCATCACGACCGGACATAATGAGGTGATAGCCGAGGCTATTTGAACCACCCCACCGCCGGCACTCGGATAGTAATCTTGGGCATAGCATAGTTGCATATTGTCCTGGGGACCATTCAGGCTTGTTCGCATTTGTGTTCCTCACGTGTGCCCCAAAGAATGAGGTGATTTGGTAAAATGCTATGCCCAAGATTACTATCCGAGTGCCGGCGGTGGGGTGGTTCAAATAGCCTCGGCTATCACCTCATTATGTCCGGTCGTGATGGTCAAGTGGATTAAGGCGTCTTGTACATACCAGTTGCGTGGCTCCTGGGAGTATGGGTTCGAGTCACTTCTGGGGTGTGAGTTTTCAGTTGCATATTGTCCTGGGGACCATTCAGGCTTGTTCGCATTTGTGTTCCTCACGTGTGCCCCAAAGAATGAGGTGATTTGGTAAAATGCTATGCCCAAGATTACTATCCGAGTGCCGGCGGTGGGGTGGTTCAAATAGCCTCGGCTATCACCTCATTATGTCCGGTCGTGATGGTCAAGTGGATTAAGGCGTCTTGTACATACCAGTTGCGTGGCTCCTGGGAGTATGGGTTCGAGTCACTTCTGGGGTGTGAGTTTTCAGTTGCATATTGTCCTGGGGACCATTCAGGCTTGTTCGCATTTGTGTTCCTCACGTGTGCCCCAAAGAATGAGGTGATTTGGTAAAATGCTATGCCCAAGATTACTATCCGAGTGCCGGCGGTGGGGTGGTTCAAATAGCCTCGGCTATCACCTCATTATGTCCGGTCGTGATGGTCAAGTGGATTAAGGCGTCTTGTACATACCAGTTGCGTGGCTCCTGGGAGTATGGGTTCGAGTCACTTCTGGGGTGTGAGTTTTCAGTTGCATATTGTCCTGGGGACCATTCAGGCTTGTTCGCATTTGTGTTCCTCACGTGTGCCCCAAAGAATGAGGTGATTTGGTAAAATGCTATGCCCAAGATTACTATCCGAGTGCCGGCGGTGGGGTGGTTCAAATAGCCTCGGCTATCACCTCATTATGTCCGGTCGTGATGGTCAAGTGGATTAAGGCGTCTTGTACATACCAGTTGCGTGGCTCCTGGGAGTATGGGTTCGAGTCACTTCTGGGGTGTGAGTTTTCAGTTGCATATTGTCCTGGGGACCATTCAGGCTTGTTCGCATTTGTGTTCCTCACGTGTGCCCCAAAGAATGAGGTGATTTGGTAAAATGCTATGCCCAAGATTACTATCCGAGTGCCGGCGGTGGGGTGGTTCAAATAGCCTCGGCTATCACCTCATTATGTCCGGTCGTGATGGTCAAGTGGATTAAGGCGTCTTGTACATACCAGTTGCGTGGCTCCTGGGAGTATGGGTTCGAGTCACTTCTTGGGGTGTGAGTTTTCAGTTATATATATATATATATATATATATATATATATTTATATATATATGTCGTACCTAGTAGCCAGAACGCACTTCTCAGCCTACTATGCAAGGCCCGATTTGCCTAATAAGCCAAGTTTTCCTGAATTAATATATTTTCTCTAATTTTTTTCTTATGAAATGATAAAGCTACCCATTTCATTGTGTGAGAAGTTAATTTTTTTTTATTGGAGTTAAAATTAACGTAGATATATGACCGAACCTAACCAACCCTACCTAACCTAACCTAACCTATCTTTATAGGTTAGGTTAGGTTAGGTAGCCGAAAAAGTTAGGTTAGGTTAGGTTAGGTAGTCGAAAAACAACTAATTCTTGAAAACTCGGCTTATTAGGCAAATAGGACCTTGCATAGTAGGCTGAGAAGTGCGTTCTGGCTACTAGGTACGACATTATATATACAGAGCACCACTTGGTTTCCGAACCCCTTGGGGACGAGACCCGTCGGTTAACATGTAAGTTCGTATACGAGAAATAGAGGGGAAAAATAAACTAGAAATGTAAAAAGAAATTTTTCCGAAAAATTTATGAAAAAACTCTAGGGAAAAAAATCGTCAGGTTCATGGCGTAAATGCGACCGTGTTTTGTTTGTACTCATCAATAAGTGAAGTCCTGATCCGCTTTATAAAAGTCCTTAATTGTTCCTAACTGATTATTAAGACGTCTGGCAAACATCCTCTGGATGTTTCCTGCCAGCCTGCAGGCACATCCTGCCTAAAATATACGATGATGTACTGTACATTTAAGAAACAAATCTGGGTCACAGGTCTGTGGAGTGTGGTTAGGCTTACGGAGTCAGCCGGTCCCTCCCCCACCACCAACACACCCCCCCCTCTCCCCCCACCACCGACACACCTCCCCCTCTCCCCCCACCACCGACACACCTCCCCCTCTCCCCCCACCACCGACACACCTCCCCCTCTCCCCCCACCACCGACACACCACCCCCACCCCCCACCCCAAACCCATACACTCTCAAAGGTCACGTGGTTCACAGTTCACTTCAACACCCATATATCGCTTCCTGCCTGCCTGCCTCCTTCCCACCCTGCCAGCCTGCTTCCTTCCCAGCCTGCCTCCTTCCCAGCCTGCCTCCTTCCCAGCCTGCCTGCCTGCCTCCTTCCCACCCTGCCAGCCTACTTCCTTCCCAGCCTGCCTCCTTCCCAGCCTGCCTGCCTGCCTCCTTCCCAGCCTGCCTCCTTCCCAGCCTGCCTCCTTCCCAGCCTGCCAGCCTGCCTCCTTCCCAGCCTGCCAGCCTGCTTCCTTCCCAGCCTACCTGCCTGCCTCCTTCCCAGCCTGCCAGCCTGCTTCCTTCCCAGCCTGCCAGCCTGCTTCCTTCCCAGCCTGCTTCCTTCCCAGCCTGCCTCCTTCCCAGCCTGCCGTCTTCCCAGCCTGCCTCCTTCCCAGCCTGCCTCCTTCCCAGCCTGCCTCCTTCCCAGCCTGCCAGCCTGCTTCCTTCCCAGCCTGCCAGCCTGCTTCCTTCCCAGCCTGCCTCCTTCCCAGCCTGCCTCCTTCCCAGCCTGCCTGCCTGCCTCCTTCCCAGCCTGCCAGCCTGCCTCCTTCCCAGCCTGCCAGCCAGCCTGCCAGCCAGCCAGCCTGCCTGCCTGCCAGCCTGCTTCCTTTCCAGCCAGCCTGCCTCTCCCCCTGCTATCATGCTAACGGGTAGTGTGTTAGGCTTATCTTCGGGAATGAGCCGGTCTCGCCCCCACCACCAACAAACCACCCGCCCCCCTACATCCCATCTCTCAAGGTCACGCGGTTCAACCTCGTGACTACCACTCACTCCCTGCCTGCAAGCTAGCCTGCCTGCCTGCCTGCCTGTGCCTGCCAGCCTGCCTTTCCCTCCCTAATTCTCACTACTTCCATCCCTTCCTGCCTACCTCCTAGCATCTCTCCCTACCTCCCCCTCCTTCTTAGCATCTCTCCCTACCTCCTAACATCTCTCCCTACCTCCCCCTCCCTCCTAGCATCTCTCTCCCCCCCTCTCTCACTGATTCCCCCCCCCCCTCATTCATACTGCCTCCCACCTAAGTTCCATCGTCCATCCACCCACCAGTCAGCCATCACTGACGCAATGGGTGCATTTGGAGCCAACATGGTGCACAGATGTTTCTTGATTGTGCAGATATGTAAAACAAAAGCACAGAATGAACATTCCAGCCTTATGGCAATTCAAAATAATAGGAATAATAGGCCGTGAATCTGTGAAGTCACAGTGGGCAAACTGGACCATCGCCCACCCACCACCACTAGCCGGCGTGACGCTTGGTGGATCCCTTCCTACCCGAACTTTGTTCGGGTAGCATGACTCCCCAACCCCAATCGGGAAACTGGAAGTTTCGGATAACTAAAGTTCGGAAA